GGTTCAGCAGGATTGATTTCTTATGATCGTGCAGGAAGACAGTGATAAAAGCAGGAATTTAACTAATTTAACATATTTTCTTCCTAAGAGCAGGAATTTAATCAAGAGGAAGAGCTCTCACGGACTGTTAAGATCCTAGAAAACATGATGTCTGTGTGCGGTCTGTTCTTCAGCTTAGTTCTACTATCGCCCTTTTTAAGCGAGAAATCTATTTCCCTACTGGTGTAAAGACGGTCAGCTTTCAGAGCTAACGGGTTTTCAAATACAATTAAAATAATATACAAGCAGATTAGATCATAGAAATCAAATGGAGAAAATGTAGAAATTTGCTGCTTCCTCCCACAGAAGGAAGACTCACCCTTGTAAGAACCCCCAAATTTAGAAACAGAACTACAGAGTGAGGAAAACTTATTGCTGTTGTATTTCAACGTAGGCACAGATGAGAAAATGCCAGTGCATTGTACTATACATTTTCCACCTGTAAAAATGAAGTGTGCGGAAGTTCGCATAAATGTCACCGCGTAGGTGATAGTTTATAAATGTGTTTTGCTGGCACGTCACTAACCCCTGGTCTTCTGCAAATCCTGCAATCCCTTAAAAACATACCGAATTACCAAAGGCAAACGTTTCCATGTCAATGAAGACTATGATTACTGTGATTGTTCTGCAGTTCAAGGTTACTATCACCAGGAGATAAGTTTATATGTGACTCACTGAAACACAGAAAACTCCCAATTAATCAGTTTACAGATTTCCACTGGTGTAAGATTTTATTTTTTGTTATCTGACATGTCATCCAAATTCTTGTGTCAGCCAAGCTCCATCACTTCGAAGATGCTTACTGTCCTACAACAAAGTCATTTCAAGCTACTGGTGGGAGGGGGAAACATCCTTTACAAGAAAAAAAACAACAGCCAACAAACACATGGAGAGTTCATGCACAATATTCAAAAGGAACAGCTGCAATTTCAAACATAGGAAACATAATATTGAGTTGAATAAACATCACAAATCCTATCCATTAGTAAAATAGAAATGCACGCGTAAAACAGCGAGCCTCAAGGGAATTTTCATCTGGGACATCTTTTGTCTAACTCTTAGGGATGGGTGTGTTTGTTCTGGCCAAAATAGAAAAAACATTTAGCCCAACAGCTCACTGGAGGCAGAGAAAATTTCCGTTCACTTTTCAGCTGAGATTTGGCGGTTACAAACAATTAATCATGTTTTTCGTAACAGAAAAGATCAAGCAATACTAACGAGACACTAGCAGCCTTACTTCTAACACCTTTTATCTTTCCTGCTTCCTGACATCTATGAAGTTTAGGAATTCTGCTTTCTGAATCGTCAGATACTTCACCTGAAACATTTATTTAAGTGCTTTGCAAACTGTGGACTGCCTTAAGTCCATTAATGTCAGGAAGCTTCCAGCTTAAGGTAAGATTGTGGCAGAAAAGACAAAAATTCTAAAAGGTTTTGCAAAGCAGACATGGAGTTTCGCCATGACCATCTGTGCAGAGTTTTCAATGAAAAAGTGGCCTGCATTATTGGCCCTGTGTCTTTGGCAGTTAATGCTTCCAGAAATAAAGAACGGATATTTCCAGAAGAGTCTAGAAAGGCAAAATGCGCCTTCCTTTCAGCAGTTTCATTATGATACCTCACTGTGCAGCACCATGAGTGTGATTCCTGTAAAAGGCAGCGTCATCTGCCCCACGCTGCCAGTGAAAAACAGAACCGGCTGGATGGTTGTACTGCAAACCCTGCCTTAATCTGTACTTACAACTGTAAACCTGCCGTTCAGTGCCTTTGGATGTCCAATCCCGCGGAATTAGAAGTATTAGAAACTAATCGCTGTTAATTTAAGTCCGTGTGAAATATTAATCTTTCGTAAGTAAAAATCACAGCACGGCACCCGCCAGGCACTCGATGCACTCACGCGTTCTCCTCTGCTGGAGGCTGCCCTCTTCTGGGTAACCAGCTTTTTGAATCAGTCCGCTTGGCTCCGTCTCCTGCGAGGTTCACATGAAAGAAAAGAAACAATAACAATGAAAATAAGATATTGGGTATTTGAAGCACATGAAAAAGGTGTTAGTGCGAACCGTGACTGTTTGATGACCTTTCAGGAAGAGGAAAAGAAACCTCACTCACAAAGCAGGACAGATTCCCTTGTAACAGAACATGCAACATTTATGTTTTCCAAAATCTTTGGATTATAGTATTAAGTAGCTGGAAGTTGGTATAATTCCGACACATAGTTACTGTGTTCTACTCCTATTAACTACTTAAGTAGAGCGTACTAGCACAACACATTATGATGAAAATACTGCAATGACTGAGTAATGAAACCTCCGTTTTCCTTCAATAAAAAGTGCCTGTCCCCCAGCCCCATCTTCTACAAGAAGATACTGCAAATGAGTTCCAAAGGCTCTGACATGCTATATTGACAATATAATATTTTAGCTGGTCTTATGATGGGGCATGATAAATCCTAATGCCAGTTGCCATTATTCTGCATGGCGAGTCCCATTTCTCCATTTCAGGGCACTGATACTTTGAGTGGCTGCATGTTTCTGTGGAGAAACAGGAGTAGGATATTATCACACAAGTCCAACCCCATGGATTTGTTAACAGATTTGTGAAGAAATCTGATAATGATTGGACTTGATGATCTTAAAGGTCTTTTCCAATCTAGGCAATTCGGTGATTCTGTGAAAGGCCAGGCTCAGGTGCGAGTTGCCTTTCTGTCACTGCAGCTTGGGCATTCTTAAATGACCAGATTCCAAGAGAAGCATTTAACACAGACTCATCTCCCAAAGCAGGTGGACAGAGGGATGTTTTCAGCGATGCTGGTCAGATTAAGAAAAGTAATGCTGCACTAAAATAACATTTTTGGCTTGCTGTCTGCTATCTACTTCCGATTGTTCAATAGCCCTTGTTACGTACACCGGTTTGTGTAACAATACCCCTCTGATCACAAATGACTTTCTCATTTTGCATCTCTTTACACAACTTAATACAACCTATCCAATTGGGACAGAAACCCTGTTAGACCAAAAAGAGATTAAAATTTTACTGTGTGTATCAATTAATATTGTTTTTAAAGTCAGTATGTTAGCTTGTCAATTCTGTTTGCCCTCCTCTTGGTCTCTGAGGAGGGCGACGTAGTAGAAGGAAAAAGTACTGGATGCCTCTTAACTAACACTTAAAACTCAGTATATACTACCACGTTTGATAGGATCCCACAGCACAATTGTCTTCGGTGAATCTACTGGAACTAGCAAAGCCATAATTACTCAACTATTCGTGGTATCGTGCTCCACACGATCTATATGGTCACCTTTCAAGGCTCGGTCTGTCTAGGTTCCAGCAATAAAGAGGCTACATCTGAACAGCAGCAATTATTTCTGTTTAATTGTGGCTGAAGTTGATATCGAGGACTTTTTGTTACTTCCACCTCAGGAATTTCTCCCCTCAACAGCATCTTTTTCTACTGCAACGCAAACACTCCTTTATTTGGACCCAGTTTTCTTCTCCTGTGCCATGGGTTTCTGTTCTCATTGACAATAAAACGGTGGAGGTGTAAGCATACATATGAAGGAGGCAAGGCATAATCACAAACTCATTTTTTTCCGATAACAGTTTAAACAATGAGATCGTTAGTGCACTTGACGATTAGTGACTTGGAATTGCATCCCAGTAATTCAGCTCCAGAGCGCACCGTGCCTGTAGCCATTCAGACTAGACTCATCTATCCAATACCCAAGAAAGATCTTATTTTTTTCTGATGCCAAAGGAGTTCACAAGGTGCTTTGAATTAGTTCCCTCTTGTCCCTCCAACAGATACACATGCATTCTTACAAATGCTTCGTGCTGAACAGCTGTTATTTTAAGGTGAAATTCACCTTTAAGTGGAAGATTTGGAGGAAACTACAAGAGGTCCTCACTGTGGTTTTAACAAGTGTGTTGGTCCTAGAAGAAACCCTTGGGAACGAGGTGCTTTTCATGTTTCATTGTAACGCGTGCCCTTTATGACACCAGACTGGAAAAAAAAAGAGGCTACACTAAGCATTAAACACTTAGATTTCTTTTGGCTGGATCTAAATTATTACATACAAGTATCAGCACTCAATGATAAATTAACTTTTAATTTTAATTTTTTTTAAAACACTTAGAAATACATCAGAATGACAAGGTGCAATAAAAGTTTAAGCTGTTCCACTACAGTGGCTAAATGTTAAGACCCCAACAGATTTCATTTTAAATCTAAGTACTTGCAGTACTTACACTTAAATCAGCCACCAGTTATCAAACAGATACTAACCTCAGACTAGTCCTACGGAATGGCAGAAGCCTCAATTGATTTGAATAAAAATACAGTGATTTAAAATAAACCTAAAAAGTGTTAGCTAACCATGATAAGAAACTAGTGACGATTTAGTGTTCTGTTATTTTAGAAATTCACATCATAAATGAGTCGTGAGATTTTTGGGTAGTTAGGCAATATATATATCCTCAGGCAGCCCAACAGGACATACACGGGACAACACGATACAGACCCATCATTTTGTATTTGGGTTGCTTCGGGGTTTCTCCTAAAATGCTGCTGTTGAATTATCTTGGCATTCTGTAGGGATTTAGTCTTTCTGAGGCACTGCTCCATGCTATTATTCAAAAAGAAAGTCACATTTGCAAGACAAGTAGTTTCCATCTGTCTCCTTGGCAAGACAGACGCGTGCTACTTCGCGTGCTTCACAAAGGAAGTTTTCACAGCTAATGACATTACTTTTGTAACTAGTGGTCACAGAAAAACAGAATATAGGTTATATTCTAACACCTCACAAGTGAAGTGTGTAACCTATTAAAGCACTCCAACACTTCAAATAAAAGGGTCTTTTCAGAAGGAGAAAAGAAATTGTGGGATTTAACCTCTGATACGAGAGGAAGCCTTACATACAATCATCTAGTAGCTGTATGAACACGGGAAAAAAAAAAGATGGCTCGTACTACATTACTGAATAATTATCCATCTAAATGTCAGCTATGAGCATGTGATCAGTCTTTTTATAGGCAAAAAGAATGTTCCCCTATGTCCATACCTAATATCCATATGGAAATACAGTACATGTTCACCTTTCCCATTAACATCCTAATATATGGGCATTTTTTTCTCTCCCCTGAGAGAGAAGGCGTACAACACAAACGCAGAGATGCTGAAGAAGTTTTAAAACTCGTAGTGCATTTAAGTGTTTGTGTAGTGTTACGTGTTTTGTCGCCAAATGGCATCGACTACAACTAAAGGAAAGAGGTCGTTAAAGAAGGTTAATGACAAACCTGTGGGGATATTTGAGTGAACATTTCTAAAGAGTCACGGCATTTTTAATCTTGTACCTGACTGCTATCATTATATAGAATTTAAAAAGCCTTTTGTAAAGGCAAGTGTTATAGTGCAGGTGGATATCCAGGCAGGCTGAGGGACAGCAGTACCATCACATCCTGACACTGGATTTGATGCAAACACAAAATTTTCTAAATTTTCTTCTAAGTGAAGTAAGTGGAGACTGCCATAGAAATCTGACCTGGGAATACTTGGAAAATATCTTTCTCTCTGTAGAAAAACAGAGTAGATAAATATATATGTCGAAGACCGAAGTTCCCCAACAAACTAAGTCAGAACGCTGCTCACTGGAAGAGTTACTTTTCACAGTAGGAAGCAAGTTGGAAAACAGTGGGTTTAAATTGCTGTCTTCTCACTTGGTTTAAATTCTAAGGAGAAAATTCAACACGTAATCAGGGGTATCTGTGGGACAATGCTTTAAGCAACTTTCTAGAAGAGGAAAATAATCACAAAGAGAAACTGTTTATAGACTTTTTAGAATGCAAGGGTGAAAAATTTAAAGGGGTGACTAAATGTCATGAAAGATTTCTGGATGGGAAGCAAGAGTGTGGAGATACCGTGCAAAAAAATCATTTTTTATAGGAATAAAGCAGCAGCTGTTGGTTTTGAGAGAAGGAATTGTTCTCAAGACCGGGTAGGTGCTGCAGCAAAGATCCTTACTTTAGGGCTTACTCCCTCCATGTCAAACCAGGAAGTGCACAAACCAAGCCTTTCACTGCAAATATCAAATAGTTCTCAAAGGGCCACAAAATTAAAGACCCATCAAGTGCATACATCTTAAATCTTGTGAAAGCAAGGGTCTTCTAAAGTACAGGTCCCTTCAGCATATCAGGTGAGCACACCTAGTTGAGACATGATACCACTCGCTGAAAGAATGGGAAAAAATTAGTATAATTCATCCTCCAAAGGCTTCTTGGAATGTCAGTGGCTAAACCAGTCATTTTTGTCCTATTCCAGGGGAAATGCAAAAATTCCAAAGCATTGCACTGGCGGAGAACAGCTGTTCTGGGGAGAACTGGAATCAGCAGAGAACTTGGTAGGCAAGTTGTGAATGTTCTGAGTGGCAGCAAGTGCTCACTCACCTGTGTTAAAACTGTTTGACAAACTGGCAATGAGGACAAAAAGCTGGGTCATAATGAAGACTGGCAGCGCGATAAAGAATGAGGATATAGCTGCTTCTGTTGAATTTCCTCACACGATTAGTAATTAGGAAAATAATCAACCAAAATCCAACACCTCCACACGCAGGCCTGTAACTGTACATGGCTATACTGGCACCAAAACCCCGAATAATTCCATGCTTCCTCAAGTACTCCGCTATTTTTAAGAAGGAAAAGGGATGTAATGCTCATAAATTACAGTGTTTTCAGCTTGAAGGTTTCCAGTAATTTTGATTTTTTGGTCAGCCAGCTTTGACAGAATCCCAAAATTTCGCACTCCTTTTAAAAAAAATAAAATCCCTTTTCTCCTGGAGGAGAAAATCCACTTTTGCAGATCCATCAAGCGAGCACACGGTGCAATAGCTAGTGCAAAAATCTGCAGACATCTAGATAAATTTCAAACAGTGGTTATCCTATCCTGCTTAGAATATTTCTACTCATCATAATTCATGAATGTTAGTGAGGCCTCAATTACTGCGCATAAATTCCAAAATACATGGGGCATAAAAAGCTCTTTAACCCAACAAAAAGACATAACAAGAACTGATGGCTGAAAATTAAAGCCAGATCAATTCAAAATCAGAGAGGATTTATTTATTTTTTTAAATAGTGAAGGTAATTGCACAAGGAACCTGCTAGCAAGGGAAGTGATGTTTTTTTATTATTATTATTTAAATAATCTGAAGTCTTCAAATCAAGACTTAACTGTCTTTCTAGGAGTTGTACTGCAAGGAAATAAAAGCTCTTGAGCTCTATATGGGAAATATGACAAAAAAGTCTCTTTGTATATTTTTTTTTAATACAAAAAAAGTCACATCGGGTGACCTAATGGTTCCTTTAAAAGACCACAGCCTATATAGCCATAAAAGCAGGCTGGTCTGCTGAAAATACACTTCTGTATCAAAAACTGTGACTGTGTAAATAAGTGGACATACATCCTAAAGTGAACTGGAAATAATATAAAAAGACATGTTTCCTGACAGCTAACATTCAATGTTATGTTAGATTAATTAAAAATTGCCTTTAAGTGCCTTACTGCAAAAAAAAAAAAAAAAAAAAAAGGCAAAAGAATGCAAAGCAGAAGAGTTAAACTAAGATTTATACTGAAAAGATTTAAGCTTTAAAAAACAACATTGGCTTTTCCAAAAGAGATTGAAATTTTTGAAGAGGAAAAAGAAATCAAACATACCACACGAGACGCAAGTTACTAAATCAAGCCACCAACCAGGAAAACGTTGCAGTAAGACAGACAGAACATTCAACGAACCGTTCAATGGGTGATCGGTGAGATTTCGTTCGTTATGACTCATGGGAGATGAAGACGGACTCATTCGGCGCGTTCCTGTTGTCGGCGAGTAAGAGTTCAGATTTTTCTTTCTGGTCTTCAGAGGTGTTGCGTCGTATGGCTAAAATGTAGCAAAAGGCAAAGAATCTAGATGAATGTTGGCTAAAGATAAAGAATGTATGTCCTACAACAGTTGTAGCCGTCCCTTCTCCAAACTAAACGCATTCTGGCCTCTCCCTTTCCTATCAGTAGAGTTACACGTTGCACCCCAAACCAGACAAAGCTTCTCTGAACATTTCCTAACTTTTAGTGGATTTTTCTAAGTAATTCCTAATTTGACGTGCTCTCATGTATGGAAAGTTTGTGTCAAATGTCGCGGTGGGTGGGCCCACCAAGCCACCCTATCACTACTCCTCTTCATGAACATTAGTTTTACTAAAAAAAAAATAAGAAGCCCCTCAAACAGTAGCCTCCCAGTTTTCATAAATAAAAAGTATGTGGTTTCCAGAGACTTATGTATTCTGGTATTAACACTTGGGGCTTTGTTTATTTTGTGTTTTTGTTTTTTTTTAAAAAAAATCCTCCAAGCAGTCAAAACCTGGTATTATTTTTCCTACAGCATTGAAAATGTAAGACACATGGACTATAAGCAACATTTTTTAGATTTTAATTCTATCAAAAGACTTATTCCTAATGATTTTCTAAAAATTGAAAAAAACCCCTGTGAGTCCCTCAAGCCCAAAATTTTGTCTTGAGCTTAGGATTTCAACATGATACAGAAGGATGTCTAATGATACAGAAGGAGTTATTTAATGATGTTAAAGGAATTGCGCAGGGAAGTTTTCAGAAGAACTAGCCTGTAATTCTGAAATGTTAACTGGGATTATCAGTTCACTCTCTAGACTGGATGCTGAACTACAACTCTGAGCAATCAGGATTTCACGGTACCACTAATGTACAGAAGAAAAAACAACAAACCAAGCCCATGCTTTGTTTGCAGGTAAAGGGTTTCAGCTCTAGTAACAATCTGATCATGACTAAGAAGTCCAGCAGCTTTCAAACATCATCAGTGACTCTATCCAAAAGGAGACACGTACAAAGAAATAGAACACACGGAGCGCTTAAAGAAGACTCTCTTGGCATCAGCACCATCTTTGTGTCACCTGAAACTCTTAGAAACCACTGATCAAGTGGCTACGGGTTTTTCCGGGTAGCTTTCCCACTCCTGCCTCCCTTTTCGCTGTATTAACATCTGTCGTGCAAAGAATAAAGGGACATCTTGGGCAAACCCACTTTTCCCAGTCCCTTTCCAAGTTTTGCCAAGGGCTTCAGGAAAGGCTGTCTAAATTCGTGGGAAAGGCTGTCTAAATTCGTAAAACAGATACGTTTTTCTACAGTTTAGTGACATTTTATTTTCTCTTGGAAACATAGAATCATTAAAGCAAATCCCACAAGAAAATAGAATAAGAGACTTCTCCGTTTTTTAATTTATGACAATTCTGGGGCTTAGAATTTGAGGAGAAGCTAATTTATCTCTGTTTTTGCAACTGTAGCAAGCAAAAGAATGGCTCATCCACCTCCTAACCAACCAACCTCTTCTACCAGCTGAAGCCTCATTCCACCAGTAAAACTGAATATCCATCATTTGTCTTCATGTCACTCGTAACCATCACTCAACTTCATACAGTATTTCTTTATCGGAAGCTTTATTGTACATGATTATTCTGTAATCTCTTCAAGTTCCATTTATCATTCCGTTGATTGATGTCAGAAAAAGTATAATAGGTAAGCATATTCCACCATTTCAATACCATGAATGAAATACATGATGAGGATTTGGGGTTTGTATCCATTAAAGAACAACAGCACTTAAGCCAAGTTGGGAAAAAAAAAAGACTAAAATAAATAAATCTGAAAACCTGACATTTGCATTTTGGTAACTGATATCTCCAATACAATTTCAAATTAATTATTTTGTTTATCTAAATAATTAATTCCCTTTCCATACTTAACCATATGTTGTCCTGTTTTGCTGGAATAAGACCCTCGAGCTACTCCTTTTTAAACCAGATTTAACACAGGGAATGTAAATCTTCAAGTCCAGTTAGAAAAAAACAAAACTAGGAAAAGGCTACATTTCTTTACTGAGTAAATTAGTGATGGAAAACATTAATGTTTAGAAAACTAATCTTAAATAGTCGAGGTGGTATAAGGAATCTGCTCCTAAAAAGCATACATTTAGAGAACAACGAATAAAAAACTAGGAATGCAAGTTGTACCTAGAACTATGACGGATAAATAAATAACCCTCAGAAGTTTTCTTCCCCATTCCAGAGAGTTGGCAGCTGATTTAAACGTCCTGAAACACAATATTATTTTTTCATACCTACATGGATACGCATACCTGTATGAATGGGTTTTTATTACAGCTTCTACTACTTCCTTGACTTTACCAAAATGTCAGGATGAGTTCCAGAAGTTAACGTGTCACATAAAAGTCTCCATTACTGGCTTTCAGTTTACCACACTGTGATATTATTAATTTCCTCTTGATTATAATAAAAGTATAAAGCATGTTCAATATCTCCTCCAAAAAGAAAAGGGCATATTCTTATTCCTTCTCTTCCCTACTGAACTCCTATCAAAACATCCTGATCTTTTCATCTCCTTCCCTTGAAGACATTTCTCCTGCCACTTGTACCACAGCCGATGTTCACACTCATTTGCTTGCACAGAATGACAGAGGTTCAAAGCACAATTTCTGCAATTACACTTCAAAACTGAGTGACAGTACCTTCCATTCTAATTCAGGTGCTGACAAAATACTGATTTATGCAATGGCGTTACCCTTCCTGTGCTGCTTGCTAGTCTATTTGTGATATATCTTACCGTAATTTTACACAAAGCTGCAGTTTCGATGGTTTTCTTCTCCTTCTCTGCCTTAAGTGGTTACCCTGAATTTAGAACCTAACAGTGTTACCATCAGTCATCAGTAATCTGGTTTACACCACATTTCAAAAGATTTAATTTGCTGCCCACCTGTCCAGCTTTTTTATAGCCCTTGGACACTGCTCTGTCTTGTTTTAATCTTAAACACCCTAAAAAAATTTCAATTCAGCTGTTGATACTCTTTTTGCAGGGTGTCAATATTTAAACAATACCTGATGGAAATCTTCATTGTGTTGCCATCACTATTTTGTCACATTCAAGCAGGTTAAAGAAATCGTTTTCAAATGCAATAGTAATTACACTAGAGCATCAACGCCACTTTCGGCCTTTAAACGTCATCAAATTTCTTTTGTAATAGGAAGAATCTCCAACCTGCTTACACTTTTGGGACATTTTCCTTGCTTGAACAGCAGTCACCTCAGCCACCAGATTTCAGGATATGAACTAAGACTCCTTTGAGCACCTACCTGGAAAAAGTTACCGTAGCAGTCAGAGGGCAGTATTTATTTGGCAGCAAGGAAGAAGAGTCTTAGTGCAGCTATGCAATTTTTTTTAAATGATACCACACTAACTCTACAAAATCTAAAAATACTAATTGTGATCTGGTAAGGTGTGCTTTGGGTAGTCTGGCCAGCAGGTGGAACGAGGGCCTCCCTGCAACAAAGGGAAAGAAATTGTAGGAGCAGCAACGGATGTGGCACAGCTAAACCAGATACCTCACACAAACCACGTGTGTTTATTACCTTACGCTCCTTCCTTCTTCCTACGATGTTATTTAATTATCTGAGTGAAGGTAACCATCAAGCAACCCCTCTTACAGGGAGGGGGCAGGGAAGGAACAGCTTTAAGGCAGAACTGCGTGCAATTTCAGCTGGACCACTCAGCTACAAAAACGTTACTACAGCCCAAGAAACAGATGCAAAATTACAGTCACAGCTGCATTCTGAGCAGAACAAGTTGGGTAATGGTACACTAAGCTGCTAATTAAATTGCTAATGATTTTTTTTAGTGCTGCTGCAGTATTTTGCCACCTTTGTTTAAAGTAAAAAGCAACTCACAAGCCCAAAAGTATCTCGAAAATTTTTAAAATTGCAAATTTCTGTTTTGCTAAATGCCAGTGAGACCCCCAAATCTGTGCTGCACATAAACAAATCTCTTCAAAATGACACTGACACAGATGTGGATATATTGGGAGCTCATTTGCCAACGAGCTCTTTCTCTCTCTATTATACTTTTCCAAAATTTTCCTTCCTTTAAACACTGCCATCCTCACCAGCTCCCTGGTATTGATGTCTGCAGCAACACTCACTGTTGGTAGGAGCAAATAATAAACTGACATATGTCATGACATGCTCGTGCTGGGAGCATGCTATAGCTGCATTTACAAAAAAATAATAGCAACAGTACAATTTTATTTTTATTGTGATAACTGTGGTGAAATTTATTGCAGTGTTAGTACTTTATTGTTTCATTATGCCAGATTAGCGGAGGGAGGTAATTATATCCTTGATTTGAGAATGCCTTTAATGTTTTCGTTTCAATTTTGCGGTTTATAATATGCAGATTACAGCATTATCGTAATTCCATATTGCTACGTGTACAATTACATGACAGAACATTTGCTTCCAGGATAATGGAGCTAATTTCTAATAAATGACTTCACCGAGGATCTTAACTCATTCAGCTCTTTGGTAAATAGTGATGGCAATAAAAACATGCACATTTCTCCATTATTTTCAAGTGATTCACACAGACGTACATTACTTAAAGCCAGGCAGTTCTACGACAAATGGAATATAATAAATTTTATACTAATATTTTCAGCAGTGATTTTGTGCCTCGTTAAGATTTTTCTAGACAGCATCCAATCTGTAACAATATATACGCAGCTCTAATGAAGTTTCATGTTTATACACACATGTACATATATACACAGTCCAAATGATTCCATATACCAAAAAAATACTTACATTATCTTTTTTAACAGTGTCCAACTTCAATGTTCTCTTAACTCTGCAAGAGAAAGAATGGACAAGTTTTACGGTCACCTAGACACAAATTGTTTAGTGGCAAGGTCTATAATCTGTAATTTTAAAGACATTTTCCTTTCTCATGTTTCATGGGGTTTTTTTAATACTACAGAAAAAAACTTGTCTCATCACAAGCAAATACATGAACTGATTAAAATACTGTGTGACAAAAATGTTGCTTGTTTAGAAGGATAAAGCATTTTCCTAAGAAAATGCAATTCTCCATTTTATACTAGAGATAAAAATCAAGACGCTGAAGCAAAATCTCTTCCTCAAAGACTATAAAGAATGAAAAAAATTATGCAAAAGCATGATCATTTACATACCTTCTGAGCAAGGGTTGAAATTATTTTGCCATTAGCAGAAATAATGTATTAGGCATTTAAAACACAGATACAGCCAAGGTGAAAAAAGTAGTTCTTCCCATCATTTTAGCTTTTAACATGATTCAGTGCTACCAGACTATGACTTAAGTGGGGAACAGATGCTCTATGTCTTTACAGGTCCCCAAACCATAAGAAACTATTTGCTACTCTTCTTCACTATACTGATTCAGGAACCCACCGAGCTCCTGCTGCAAAATCTGCTCTGCTGAACTGGATGCCCAGCTGTTAATGGCAACGCTAGAAGAGGAAAGCTGAATATTTATAATACTTTATATCGTACAGCTGTCTTCAAAAGAGCAGTCATCAAAATTTTATTGAATGCCGACTAAATGCTCAAAGGAAAGAAAGGTCAACATAAATTAAGACTATTTTTCCCAGAGACAACTGAAACTTTTGAAGCGCGTTCCTAAATCTCAACGATAGCTTACAGCGTTGTATAAAACAGCAAGGCAAAAAAGAAAATTATAAGAACAGTCCCCCAAAACGTATGTATTATATCACATTAAAGTAGATGTAGAAAACACATAATATTTCAAGACCTTAGCTCACAGTTTTCAGCTTGGAAAAGAATGTTTTGACTTGTAAGGAATTAAGATGACCTCATTCCAAACATATCCTTTTAAAATTCCTGTTACTGTTTCAAATCTCTAAATTAAAGTATTGGAAAAATAGAAGGAAAACACATCTTTGAAATGTAACTCAGGCAACTGTCTTCTATTAATACTGTTTTACAACTGTCTCTATTACAAAAAGGGTAAGGGAAACATTCTGTCTTAAAAAGCCAAGTAAACAGGTAACATTTAAATTAAAAAAGTGTGTGAACTTCTTGCCAAAGGGCAGTCGAAGCTGCAATAGTTTGATGGAATTCTTTACAGTGTATTTCTTTTCAAAATAGAAACCCATATTGCTTAAGGAATGCAGACTCCATTACACCTTCCACCCCACTGGCAGCAGAGAAACTTTTTATATTTATTAATATATCTCCTCTGAAAGGATGCTCTAGGGACCAATGCATTTGCATGTTATACTAAGGCATGTTAGGATGGAAGTTTTTATGATGGACTTCAAAAAGAAGCTGGAAGCCAAAGTAAATCAGAATCTGGAGTCGGCGTAGCTGCAGGATGGAGATAAATGAGAAACTACACAAAAACCCCATTACATTATAAACATTTAGAAAATTTCTTAAAGATGAAGTTGTGGACTGGTCAAGACCATTTTTTGAAGTCTGTCAAGCACTATGTTCATCAACGAAGTTTCAGGCAGCCCAAATTTCTCTCTGCTGGCTGCAAAACCCCTGCAAACACCCTGAGCTCTGGCGATGATGAGGCAGCCTCATTCCAGGCAAGGAATCTGATGCTGAAAGGAGCTGCACGGATACAATTTTGACCTCAGGAGGTCAACCTTGCCTTGCTTTTCCCAATCCACCCGACCCAGCAGCCTGGTTTGCTACTGGGCTTTTTGGTTTTTTAGGGATTGTCTTTCTGATGCCATAAAGCAAGAAGGTAAATCTCAAAATAAGTAAAAATCTGTGCTTATAGCCTACACACCGCCCATGGCTAGGACCACTGAAACAAAATTAATCCAGACACCTAACATGAAGACCCAGCTGGCTAAAGGGTACTCCCTTCAGATCTTTTGTAAGAAGAACATGGGAAAAAAATCAATATGTGCATCTAGATGCAAAAAAACCACCTTGGAAATATCATGGAGGAAGAGCACCAGCTTTAGTTAGGTTTAGCTTTTTTAAATGGCTGGAAAAGTCTTGCTGTGGCTACGACATAGAATCAAACATCAGAGTTGCGAACAAGAAAAGGAGACAAAAAGACGAGGTGATGACAGTACACAACAACTTACTTAACCGAGTTTCCTACCCTTGAATTACTTCACAATTTCCTGACAAGCCTTGATTTATTTTCTTAACTATGCAGAGTATGATTGTATATGTTTATAGCTAGCTGTGCAACCTGCAGTGATTATTTTTGCTCATAATATTTATTGGGTTAAAGAACTACAGATTAAGTGTCTAGCTTATCGTTCATCTATCAAGTTGCTGGTTCTTTGCTAATACTGGGAGACCTTTATTCACTTGAATAGTGCTTTGATGATACTACTTATATGAGGAACTGCTTAACAGTGAGAGTCTAGGTATGCTATTTACAGTCCTATATAGAAATGGATTTTTAAAATATTTTAATTCCACATACACTTAACTTTCTCTTCATAATTCATTTATGAATGAATGCGATGGTAGCAGTCACATACGGATTTAATGCACAGAAGAGAATACGCAGAATTAGGGAGTTAATTATATTATTTCATTAAAAATACCCTAGAGAGTATTGTAGTGCACTTTGAGACCATTTCAGTTAGTTTCCTCTAAAGTTTCCGCTTTCACTGGGGAAAAAAAGAACACAACTCCAGGCTATTTACATACTGCTTCATCTTCAAAACCCGTCAGCAAAAATGCCTTATTAAGTGGAAAAGCAGAAGGAAAAAACGATCATTTTCAGCTTAAATAGTACTTAAACTCAGTGTGCAACCGATGAAAAATAAACACCAACAGACCACAGCCTGTGTACTGAGAAGCTTCCTTCGTATTATCACTGTCTCGTAGGACTATTTCAGCTTCCAGTGGTTAAGAGAACGACCGTCAGGAGTTGGAACCCACGCTAGCTCTAACATAAGTTAATTTTGAGAATGTGTAAGAAGCTGTAAACTGGGACAACATCCCATGTTTACACAGAGGCAGCACAAGTCTTACGGCCCAACCTCATTGCTGCTGAAGAGAGCGTTTCCCTTCTTGCTCTTCAGAAGCCCGCGATTCTCAAAGATACACAAGAACAGCATCGGACTTACACGATCATCACTCAATAAATTGCAAAGAACAGGAGAAACACAAACAGGATTTCACAGAACCACAGAATGTTGGGGGTTGGACGGGACCTCTAGAGATCACCCAGTGCCACCCCCTGCCAGAGCAGGGTCACCCAGGGCAGCCCCACAGGAACGCGTCCAGGCAGGTTTGAAAGTCTCCAGAGCAGGAGACTCCACACCCTCTCTGGGCAGCCTGGGCCAGGGCTCCGGCACCCGCACAGGGAAGAAGTTTTTCCTTATGTTTATGTAGAAACATTTATTCCTGTTAGAGGCCGCATGAAGAGATAGGGACTGATGGAAAACGAGCCCTTATCGCCGCAGGCCAGCCTGCAGCACGAAAGCGGGGTGTCCAACCCCACCGTGACACGGCTCCTGTCCCTCTCCCACCTCCGCAGGCTTTATTCATGAGGTTTCCAGAGATAACCAA